GTTTGCTTATCCATGTGATTAATATATAAAAACACACAGGCATTTTTAAATATATATATATCTATTTAAATGAATCATAGAATCAACCAGGTTGGAAAAGACCTCCGAGATCATCAAGTCCAACCCTTGATCCAACATTGCCATGGTTACTAGACTAAGTGCCACATCCAGTCTCATCTTAAAAACCTCCAGGGATGGTGAAATGATGTATGTTATTTGTATGATCAATAATATTTCTTAGAGCATGTACTTGGGAATATGTTGGGGTTTTTTTGCTTTTTATTAGTAATCAACACTAGTATAAGTGGTACATTAAGTCATTTTATTGCTGGAGACTTGCAAGAAGAGTCTTTTATGTACCCATCTCATTCTGAATTTCAAGAAAAATAAAAGGACTTTAATAGAAATGTCTTCATTGCTGACTAATTTTCTGCTCTTTAGCAGTGAAATTTGTTCTTTAATATGATATGTTTGATATACTTGTGATATTCCAGAGACACAGCTGATTGTTGATTGCACCCTAATTTTTCTAAAAGGAATGCAAATTGGTATACTTAATGATTTCTGCCAAAAATTATTTGCCATAAAGGAGAAGAGAAAACAAGTGGATAACTTCAAAAGTGTTCAGCTGTGTAATATGTGACTATATAGTAACATTATGTGAAAAAGATGATGCTATTCTGTGTGTCCAAAACATAACATGGGAAACCACATCATTCTGTTCTGTGTTCGGTAGCTTATCTACTGAGTCAAAGCAATGTATTCATTTTTTTTTCCAGATGGTTTTCAACTTATTTTTCTCTGATCAAATTATAATTAATGTTCTATGTTTACCTTTCCTGCCTTATCCCTTTTTCTTTTACTTAGTTGATTTCTGAATGTTTCCCTTTATTCCTGTGATCTTTTCTTCATAGCGGCACTGTCTCGGTGAAGCTTTGCATAAATCTATCAGCAATGTAAGTGATTTGCACTTACAGCTTGTGAACAGGGCATGCTTGCACTAATCAACCTGCCTATACTGTAATACTGCTTTGGAGCTTTAGCCCATGAAATGGGAAACATGGTAATATTTGAAAGGAGAACGTGTGCCACTAGTTACGAAAAGCTTGTGTACTGCATCCGTTCATCTGTGTAACTGTATATGTATCATTGGGCATCAAACACTGTGTACGTGCTCATAACATAAGCAGCATTTTTATGTCATTGTTAACACAAGCAAGCTTGTGGGCAGCGCAAACGTGTATTGCAAGAGCTTTCTACAAAGCATGAGATTGATGCTGTATTATAATTTGCAGTTTTGCAGTGCAAGTCTTAATTGTAGCCAAAATATTCTTTCTTTCTATTTTATTTTTAAAATTCTCACTATTGTTTTTAATGCACTGAAAACCGTGGGTAAAAGTATTGGAAGTTCAGAGAGTAGTGGTGAGAGCTGTTTTCTTTTGAATCCTCAATACAGAGATGTATAGAAGGAGTGGTCCAAAGACATGCAAAGGAAGGCACTAATGTTCTCAAAAATTTGCTCTTAAGGATATGTGTATGTACTGAATAATCAGACTAATGTTGAAAATTATGTGATCTTCTAAAAAGACTCAGATTTTTAACTTTTTATTACTTTTCAACAATAAAAAAATTATTAGATGGGTCGACTTATCTGACTTGCTTGTTAGAATCATTTAATCCTCATTGTCCTTTATTTTCTGTGTAGTCTATTGATGCAAATAGACATCTCCAGACATTGACTCATTTCAAGTTGTGATTTTGCAGTCACTTTAATCTGGTGTAAGTATGAACTGCTCTTGCGTATTCCTGGTCTCTTCTAAGATGGCTTCCTGGCCAGATGTCAGACTACTCTTGGTCATCTCAATTAAAATATTTTCTGCATTTACAAGAAGGAAATTAAAAGAAAATTGTTTTGCCTTTGGCCCATGCTCAAAATGTTTATAAATGATATACTAAGAATTATCCGAGTTTGGAGCAGGAACTTAAACGAGAGACAGATTTAACTTCAAGCCAAAAATACATTTTTTTCATGTCATCTTAAAAATTTGGCTAAGTTACTATGGTAGACTCCATTTGGATATTATCATTAAAGGCTTGTTCGAGTGTGGTGATTAAATGGCCTGAGGTTCTGCAGGACTGAGCAGGAGTTCCCCTAGACTTGTGCTTCCTGGTGGCTGTGGTGAATGGGCCTGGACAATTGAAAGGGACAAGTAAGAGTGGGCATCTAGTGAATGTGTCTCACTGTTCCTGCTAAAGGCACTTGGAGGAGGAGGAACAGGATGTGAGTGAAAATTGTGGGATTTCCTTCAGATGAGATTTTTAAGATGTAATTTGTGTATAAATTTCCCACCTAGTGCAATAAATTGGACTGGGTAACCTTTTAAGCCTATCCTAAGTGCAGATTCCTATGATACTAAAAATGGAGTTAGAAAGAAGAAAATGAAAAAAGGAGGGGAGGAGGAGGGGAAGAGATACTGGAGTATGGGATGGATGGAAGAGAAGGAATAGAGGTTCTAGAGCCAAGTTGCAGTTGTGGTCTCAGAGAAACAAACAAAAAAAAACCCGAACAAACCTGAGAGTTTACGGATGGTGGTTACATAGGAACAGAAGTAACCTAAAGAAGCACAAGTTGTCTAAAAGTACAGGGGAAAAACAGACCTCCAGATAGGGTCTGGGTTTTGCTAGGTGTAGTCTGGAAGAGAACTAGGAAATAAAGGCAAGGCTTACAGATGAAGAGAAGGACCCAGGTAGGTATCAACTTTCAGAAAGGTGGGGAAAGAGAGAAGGGCCCAACAGTGAATGTGGAATGAATTAGAGTAGATGGAAGTTGCGGTAATATAGATTATTTTTTCCTGGAGAAGTAAGACAATAGCACATTGCATGACCAGAAGATGATGCATATATGAAAATTCAAAACTGGCCATGCTGGCAGTTGCATGGTGCAAACTCACCACATCAGAGGAGTAAGTTTCTAGGGATAAAGAGAAAAAAATACAGTATGTGGTTGAATTGTTATTTTTTGAAATACTGTCTGTGCTGATTTGTCTGACCAGCCTGGCAACCTTGGCCATGGTTGCTGAAAGAGATCAGCCAAGAACTTCTGGGGCTTCTGAGGAAACTAAAATTCTGCTATATGAAGAAGGGAGGAAGGTTTTGTATAGATAAATAACTAGTTGAAAAATAGGTATTAAATAGAGCGTTACCACAGTGAACAAAGATTCTCAGTGGAGTTTAGCAGATGTGCAGCATATTTTCTTTTGCAGGTTGTTAATAAGTAAGGTGGGAAACTTTGCAGCTTATAAAAGGTTATTCAAGGTGGGAAAAGCACTGAAGAATTATAGAATGGCTGTAAAAAGCCAAGGGACTTGGCAATAAAATGGCAGATGAAATTCAGTGTAGATAAATGCAAAGTGACACATAAGGGAAAAAAAATTGTAACTTCTTGTGTAAAATTATGAACCTTACCTTGACCTGTTACAACTAGAAAGTAGGTTTGGGGGCTACAGTATATAATTCCATAAAAAACCATCACCTCAGTGCTTTTTTGTTCTTCTTGTTTTACTGCTAATTTTTATTTGTGTAGCTTTTTTGTTTCAAATCTGCTTCAGCTGTGTCCTGAAAAAAGCTAAACTCACGTGTTTGACAACAATGTTTATGCTGCAAGTTGTACTTGGTATGCTGCTATTAATTTTTCGTTAAGTGGTGGGTACTAATGTTCTCTAATGCAATAAATTGATGTGCAATGTCGTTATTAATTTGTCATAATTAGTTTTATGATATGCTGAATCAAATGACACTATCAGACTTTAATTTATAATTCCCTGTTATGTAATGCTCTGAGGCTTGAAAAGTATCCTTACTGATTCAAATTCTTTGTCACATGGCAATTTTATTTTCCTTCCTTTGAGTCACTGTAGCAAAATTCTCTTTTGGTTAAATCTTGTTTCCAGAATTGGAGAGTATCTCTCCTGTGTTTAGCTCTAAAGGGAATATAAGTTTAGTACTTTTAGTCGAAAAAGATATCTGATGTGCAGAACAAAGTATAATATTATTATAAAAATAAAATTAGATTTTTTGAAGGAATACAGTTTTCTATATTACTTGTTGGATGAAAAACATCATTTGTAAAATCAGGTATTTCTAAGAAAATGAGTTATTTGTGATTCAGAATGCTTAGATCTTAGATCTTGAAAACAAGCATAAAAATCACTCTTATAGTCTTACTGAGCTAACAAAAAAGAGTTACTTTTTATTTGTGATGTAGAATATTATGATACCATTTCTTTCTAAATGAGTAAACTACCAGTAAGATAGGACCATAACACATGAGATTAGCTCAGTTGGTTAGAGCCTGGTGCTAATAACACCAAGGTTGTGGGTCCAATATCCCTATGGGCCATTCACCTAAGACTTGGACTCGATGATCCTTGTGGGTCCCTTCCAACTCAGAATATTCTGTGATATATCTGTGATAAAAGATACAAAAATCCATCAATGTAGATGTCGCAGGCCATCCTCCCCTATCCAAGCACAAGATTATCCTTGGAGAATGGATGTTCCTCTGAAGAATAGTTTAACAATCAAGTGGTTGATTTCAGACCTTGATAGTGTCATTTTTATTGATCTTTTATATAAAACCTAGAAATAATTTTTGAGAATTTGGCCATGAAAAATTGTGTTACAGGTAGTGCTGTAGTATAAACTAGCCAATGTGATAATCCTTACAAAACCATTAAAATGCAAATATTATGTTTCTGACCTATAATATTAACAGCAAATTCATACATGGATGACATTGCTTGTCTGTCTTTTAGCTAACAATGGCTTTAAAATTTCAAGTGCTTTCTTCTTTTGAATGTTTTCTTTACAGTTGATTTTAGTATTAATGACTAACAGATATTTGCTGTTCTCTTGTGGATTAGATCTCCTTACTGAAGCAGAATCTGGAGATGCAGCTTTCCCAGTCACAGAGCTCTTTGCAACAGCTACAAGCCCAGTTCAGTCAGGAGCGACAGAGGCTGACTCAGGAGATCCAGGAATTAGAAGAGGAGCATCAGCAAAGGCATAAGTCCCTTCAGGAAGCCCATATCCTTGCCTTTCAAAACATGGAAGAAACAAAAGAGCAAGAACAAAAGGCATGTTCTATGGTTATTCCAAATTCTATAGAGAATGTTGCCATTGTAGCATTTTATGTACACAGTTGGAATTAGTAAAGAACAGTATCCGCAAACTACTAAATTTCCTTTTCAGATTATGTATTACAGTAATATTGTTATCCAGTTAAATCTGAGCAAGGCATATTTAAAATCATCTCTAACATTAGCATTGTTTCATGTCTTGCTTTAAATGCATGTATATAGGTGGGTGTGTATATATATATATATGTAACATTATTATCAACACATGTATTTCTTTATGGTAGTTTGACATTGTTACCCTTAATAGTATATTCTAAGAATTTTCTATTACAGTTACTTAACTTTGCATGTATTTTCTGTCAATTGACTCCTTTTTAATGTATTTTATATTTTCTTTACGTTAAAAATTGTATAAGCTATGTTCTGCGACTTGCAAGAGAATTTTCGTGTCTCACCCAAGATATTTTTTTAAAACCTTTACTAAAACATCTTTAAAAATGCAAGCTGGCAGTGCATGGTACTTAATGAGGGGGTGTCTTAAGGTTTTTTAAGTTCAGATCTAGAGTGCACTTTTGCAATCAGTTTTCCCATTGCCCACCCTTAATGTATTTTGGTTCACATTTATAGACTGGTCTTGGAGCACGCGAGGAGGATTCCTTTTGTTCAAAATCAAACCAGAAGGTGTGCACTGGGAACATTATGCTTCATACAGTTCAGTAGGGAGTAAACATGGGTGTCCTTAGGGAGCAAAATCTCCAAATGTGTATTGCGTGCACACTAACCCCCTCTGTGGATCTGCACTTCCCTACAGTGCTTGCTATTATACATATATCCATAGATTGTTTTTTTAATCTTTTCCAGCTGTGAGCAGAACAGGGCTTTTGTGTCCAGGTCATCTTGATAACCATGAGCCACTGAAAAGAGAAATGTAGTAGTAGGATAAGAAAATATGAGTTAAATTAGTGCATTTTTAAAAATTTCTAGAGTATGTCAATGCCTGCTTTTTGTTGTTTATTGTGTAATATTTTATAATTTTTTTAAGTTTGTGTAGAATAAATTCTGTCAATTTTGATTTCATAGGAATTAGAAGAACGTTTACAACAGAAGCACTCAGAAGAACTTCATGCACTGAAAGAAACACATAAACAAGCTATGGAAGGCTTTAAATTGGAGATGGAACAGGAACTTCAAACTCTACGATTTGAGCTGGAGGATGAAGGAAAAGCTATGTTAGGTATACTGTTTTCAAATTTGAAAATGAGTTCAAAAACTTTATTTCTACTCATGCAAATATAGATGCACATCTATATGTGTGTATGTGTGTGTGTTATAACACTATAGTGTATCTGAAAGTCATTCAGTGTTGACCTAAATGTCCCTCTTAAAATCAGCATAAGCATTAACAGGTTCACTTTTGAAATATCTTACCCTTATCCTATCTTATCTAGTTTTCTTTGGAAGGAGTAAGCGACCAAAGTTCCTGATGGAGAACATTTCAGAAAGTAACAGGAATAGAATGACAGGACAGTTGCTTAGCTAATGTAAACAGAGTGTGTTAGGTCAGCCACAATACCAGAGGGAGCGGGACTGTTATTGTTAATGTAAACATTTCCAAAATAAACTTTTCTGTTTGTTCCTGGTAACCAGCTTCCTTGCGCTCAGAGCTCAATCATCAACATGCAGCAGCAATTGACCAGCTGAGGCACAACCATCAACAAGAACTGGTAGCTGCCAAAATGGAGCTCGAAAGAAGCATAGAAATCGGCAGGCGACAGGTGAGGGGCATGGCTGGCAACTGACTGTAAGATGGCATGATCAGTATCTGTTTTCCTCTCAGCTGGGGGAAAGAACTGTTGTGAACAAATGACAAATATGTAATCCTTCCAAGTCACCTGACACCAGCAGCTAATGCATTCCTACCAGTTTCCTAAACTTTCTTGCTTAGTTTTTTTTCCTTCTACAAACTTCATTCAAAGCCTACTAAAGTCTCCCGTATCAAGGCACTTTCCTCAGAAATGTGTAGCCGTCTGGGAGCACAGTGGCTTGCTGTGGGATGCAAGTGCCCATTCTTCCCAAATTGTACTTATCCTCAACTGCCAGCAGGACTTAAAAGAAAAAGCTGTTTCTCTTTGAAGTCTAAGTGATATGGAAAAAGAAATGGTTGCTTATAACCAAATGATTGTTTCAGACTTAAGAGATGTCTTAGTCTCTTTCTGTCTCAGGAGCCAAATTAGAAAAGATTAATTAACATAAAGAAAACAGAGAATATGATGTAACAGCTTGCAACTATTTCTTAAAAAAATAAAGGCACAAAAAAAACCCCAAGAACAAAACCCTAGAGACAATATGGACTACCTTTGCTTTCAGTAGCAAATTAATTCGTTCACTTTTATCTTTCATTTTCATTTTATACACTATTAGTTTTTCTACTGGTAACTAAAAATTCAAAGTTTAATCTCTATTGAGAGGAATCCAAACTCTTGGAAGTAAGAAGATCAGAAAATTACCTCTTTATTTGCCTATACAATAGGCTTTTCAAGATTGATTTACTGGTAGTCCAGCACCAAGGAGGAGAAGTAGTTTGGGAAATATATTTAACAGAGTAAGCAGGCTTAGCTGGACATAGGCTTTACAGAAAAACAGAGGCAGTTAGAGATGAGCCCTTCTTTATCTCTTCCTTGCTGATTTAAAAGTGTTAGCGCTAGAGCCAAAAACGTAGTACTGTCATGAAGGATTTAGGAGGATATATTTTCAGTCATGTGTTGTTTAAGCCTAGAGTCTGACACCTAAAGGAGATGTCAGAAAAAAAAGTTTAAATTACAAGAGCCAGTGTTTGATCCAACCACATACCCTGTACTTTTGGACTCAGCATAATGATCTGCTAAGCACAAGCTTGAGTTGTACTGAGGGCAAAGCAAGTAATTGTGTTTACTTGTGTTAGAATGCTTATCAGTTCACAGGATCAGAGTTGAAATAGATGTAGAGTAGTCTACTTTTTGATATATTTAATATGTGGATGTAACTTTTCCACTGCTTTTTCCTATAACTTTAACATACTCTATATATAGTGAGGTAGATAGTTGTTTTTAATGGTCTATTCTTAAAGATGCCCTATAAAATTTGTGCATTTGGATATATTTGTATTTCCTGGAGGCAGGAAGGCACAAAACACAATTATACCTAAAACTACTTTGAAATATCTTCTGATTTTCTCTCTGTACAAACTATATGGTCATTAATTATTCTGAAATTGTAAGAAGTGGAATAGGTGGAAACAGAAAACTCTGAAAAAGATTGTTTTCATTACAGACATTTCTTAACTGATGAGAAGCATTATCAAAGCCAGTTGAATGGGCTCCAGATGAGTTTCCCAGATATTAACTTTATTGTAGTTTCTTATGTAAAAAGAATGACTTTTATTATTGAAAGCAATATAAATTTTACCTAAACTATTTAGAACATATTCTGCTGCAAAATATTTATGACCCTTCTATATATTTGTAAGATAAGAGACCTCTGAATCAGTGTTTGTTCGTGCAGGGCATACATCTTGAGCAATTTTCTCCCATTGAATGGGTCTGTAAAGGAAAAAAAGTTTCTCTAGAGTGTATGCTGACAAAGCAGAAAAAGCTAAATGCCCGGGCCCTTGGTTCTTAGCAATACCTCTTTTTTTTGTTATGTGTGTGGGCAGAAGGAAAATGTGATGAGCTACACAAATTTTAACTGGCAATGACAATGACAGGTTTTAACTTTTTTGGCAAATGGAAATTGGTTGTTACATAACTTTGATTTCTTCTTTCTTTGCACTTGTACACAATAAAAAAGAACCCCTTCATTTTAATTATAATTTGTATCAGCATCTAAAACTGAAAAAATTGTATATTGAATGGAAAATTCTGCTCAGTTCACAATACAGAAGCAAGTATTGTGCTTCTGAGACACAAGGCTATCTAAAATATTTTTTTATATTTAAATGATGCTACTTATATCATAGGAGAAAGAATTTTTATGCCGAATATCAGATCTGCAAGATGAACTGAGACACCGAGACCATCATATAGCTGAACTGGACAAAGAGATTCTGCATCTTCATGAAAATATAAGTGCATTGACAAAGGAATTAGAGTTTAAAGGGAAAGAAATTCTTAGAATACATAGTGAATCCAACCAACAGATCAGGTATGAATTTCTTCACTCTAAACTCAAATGTGTATTGTTTCGCTTATTGTTTTATTTAAAAAATTTTACCATTTGCAATTCATAATTTATCCTCTTAATCAAGTGATGTTACATATCATTTAGTCTTCTTTAGGAAAAGCTATGCCTGTTAGTAGTAAAGTTAGTGAATATTACCATACACTTAAGCTGCATTTCAGTGATACATTTTGGCATATTTTAGTAACAGTTTGCTCAAGTGTTGGTTTTTGGTGGTTTTTTTTTTTCAAATTCATTATGTTTGTTTATTTAAAAAAGCATTAAAGGAGATGCATTTTCCATGAAATAAGCTAGAAGATTGGAGAACAGTAAGTAGTGGGTTTTGATGAATGAGTAATTCCTTCTGTGTTTTCTGATATTGTGTAAAAGCCATTAGAAGCATGGCAGAAAATCATGATGAACAAACAAGTCTGATTTTAGAATAACTCTTTTTTTAACAAAAAATAAATTAAACAGGATGCATGAGCAAGATTTAAGCAAGAAACATGAGAAAGAGCTGGATGTCTTGACAGCAGATCACATCAGAGAGAAACAAAGCATGCTGGCAGATTTTAATAAGACCCAAGAGCTGCTCAAGGAAATTAATTCAGCTTTACAAATTTCGTAAGTTTGTTGCATTAAAAAAATTTGTATGTAGCTGCATTTGAGTGTATCCATAAGTTCCTGAAGATATTGCAGAGGTGCAGATGTACAAATACCTCAATCAAGTATGGGGCCCAGTCTTGCATTCTTTAGGCAAAAC